AATGCATTATATGTAAAATAAGAAGGTAAGCAAACACCTCACTATGCTACATTTTTATATCTCAGTCATTTTTTCCCTTGTTTGCCTGTAGGAATAACCTGTAGGTGTTGGTTTCTGACATTATGCTTGAACCTGCAAAGTGGAAAGGTAAAGCATAAGGTTACTTCAGGCTTTCAGATTCTTTGATTGTTAAGGAAGAACTTTTTTTTTTAAATTGTTTTTTATTAAATCATAACTTTGTACATTGATGCATTTATGGGGTTCAGGGTACTGATTCAGTATACAATGTGAAATGTTTACACTGAACTAAGTACTAACACATCCATAACGATTATACTCATTTCTTAATAGTTTTGAAATGTACCATTGCATCATGCATATATGGTGAGGTCCCCCAAATACTCTCCCTCCTGCTGTATCCTCCCTCCCCTTCCCTCTCTCTCTTCTTCCCTTCTACTTTCTGGACTATAGTTATGTTTTGCCATTCACATGAGCATGTAGGTGGTTGTATATTGATTTTATAGTAGTACTGAGTACATTGGATACTTTTTTCCCCATTCTTGAGGTACTTTACTAAGAAGAATATGTTCCAGCTCCTTCCAGGTAAACATAAAAGATGTGACATCTCCATCTTTTTTATGGCTGCATAGTATTCCATGGTGTACATATACCACAATTTGTTAATCCATTCATGAACCAATGGGCACTTGGGCTCTGTCCATGTCTTGGCTATTATGAATTGGGCTGCAGTACACATTCTAGTGCAAATGTCTTTGTTGTAAAATAATTTTTGATCATCTGGGTATATACCTAGTAGAGGAATTGCAGGATCGAACAGTAGGTCTACTTTTAGTTCCTTGAGTGTTCTCCAAACTTCTTTCCAAAAAGGTCGTATTAGCTCGCATTCCCACCAGCAGTGTAGAAGCGTTCCCTTCTCTCTGCATCCATGCCAACATCTGTAGTTTTAGGATATGTGATGTGGGCTAATCTTACTGGAGTTAGATGATATTTCAAAGTGGTTTTGATTTGCATTTCTCTGATGATTAAGGATGATGAACATTTTTTCATGTGTTTGTAGGCCATGCACCTGTTTCAACAGAGAAGTTTTTGTTCAAGTCTCTTGCCTACATAGAAATAGGGTTATTTATTCTTTTCTTATTGATTAATTTGAGTTCTCTGTAGATTCTAGTTATCAGACCTTTGTTGGAAACATAACTTGCAAAAATCTTCTCCCATTCTGAAGGTTGTTTGCTTTACTTACTGTGCTCTTGGCTGTGCAAAAGATTTTTAGTTTGATCAAATCCCAGTAATGTATTTTTGGTGTTGCTTCAATTGCCCAGGGGTACTTCTCATAAAATATTCTTCCAGGCCAATTTCTTCAAGTGTTTTCCCTGCACTCTCCTAGTATTTTTATAGTTTCATGTCTTAA